ATGCGGTCCTGAAGAGCGTCTCCGTGGAGTGTATGGCCAGAATCCATACAAATTTCCCAAAACAGGCAGCATTCAATTGTTGATCCGCACCATAAGTAACCGATGGCGATATGATCAATTTGGGTCTGTCACTGGCTTGCCTTGGAGTAAAACATGTAGCCAGGCAACTTCAGCCATTTCGGAAGCAGGTATTTCATGCTCTATGCTCTGATCAGGGTACAGCTGAATTAGCCGTTCACTGACACCGAGTCCAATCCAATTGAGTCTCAGATGCGCTAGATATGTCTACCTGTGCATTCAAACCTTCGGAAACCACAACGATAACCGAGCTCCTGTCTTGCCGCAGCTCAAAGCATCAAAAACGTTATCTTTGACGTTGCGAGAGCTACAGTCGGTTAGGCCTTAAGCAGACACGATAAACAGACCGATCAACTTCTACATTGTGAGAATCCCTAATGGACCTACCACGCGAACCGCACAGAGGCTAGTAGCAACGGGTATCCAGTCAACTTCCGACCGGTGACTAAGGACGATACCGACCGCAGAACAGCCTACCATAGCGGCGTCTGGATTACCAGAGGTGTGTAACCGGGAGCGAGTAGAAAGTGATGGGTCCCGATAACTGTTTGGAATTTGGATTGTTTCTGATACGTAGCATACGTCACTGCCAAGCAAGTATGAGGGTAAGAGCAGCCCAGTGCTTTGAAGGGTGAACATTAAAAGCAGCCGGATAAACTGAAACTTCAAGGTAGACTTAGAGAAGACGGATGCTCGTGTGCTTGCTGACCCGCAAATGCTACGGCCAAGATTGGTGCAAGAAAAACGGGGGCGTCAGTCCTAACGGATGGGTCTACAACAGGAGTGTTACTAACGGTATGCTGGGACCAGAAAGTGTGCAAATGCGTAAGAAGGGAGGTGTCAACGAGTGCTTGTTTGCCCTTACTCGCTACGGTATATGCGGCAAGTAAGGTGACTAACAACACCACGCGACGACCGATGTGACACAATAGGATCTTAGCTGCCGGAGGCATGGTCGAACGCGAGGCTAGGATGGTGCCAAACCATTAATATCTAGGAAGGAGGATTGCTGTCCTCAACCGAAACCCTTGGTTAAAAACCTGGCCGAAAGGCATCAGTGTTTGGCGGAGAATGACCGTGTATTGTACTCTCTTCTGTGGCTCAAAAGTCAACGTTGTTTTGAGAGCTCTGCTTCGCGTCTTAAACGGCGGCTGCATCCAGCGGTAAGCAGCCTCGCTGATGGGGTCCCCATGACCCCCCTATGCCTGGATGGAAACAATGTAAAGAAATTGCGGCCAACCGACGTAAGTGGCGTTCGTGCTGTCGCCCTCTTCATACATTGTCTGAAAGGGCGCTTGTAGGTGTAAAAACCTCAGAATGCTTGTGATGGGCCAACACCGGGTCCGCCTCTCATCAACTCTCTTTTTTTCACTTTAAGGCTTTAAGTATGATTAAATAAACTTTGTGGTTGTACAGCAGTGTCAATACTGGTGTTACCGTCTCTGATGAAGATACGATTGAAAACAACCTCTAGCTTCTGATTCACATCATTTTCATCTGAGTCGATAACAAGGATGGTATCCCAATGAGCGTGTTCATTGTTTGTAATTCACGCGATTTCTTACCCATCGGCACCTGAAGATGAACATCTCTCCAGTCCGGTTTGATGTGATAAACCAATTTTTGGCAAGAGTAGTAGATACTGATAGCCTTCAAGTTCGTACATACACGTACGCAAGCACTGGTCCAACTAGTAGTTGATTAGGTCTGTTCGCTGAGCTTGACAGTCAGCTAGCAAACGTTTCACCACCAATCGAAGAGACATAGTGTGCACACATTGACGATGCTCAGCATTTTTATGGCAGCCCAGCGTCACCTCAGATATTTCACAATATTACCTGCTGACGAAGTTTTGAAATGCAGTCATTTAAATGATTTACCAACAATTTGCCTTCAGAGCTAACTGGATACAAGGCTCATTTGTGCATCAGCTAGGTTAAATCTTCCGAAGCAAGGTAGCTGTAGAAAATTCGGACGGGTGCCATCAGTTACAAAACGGTCCCAAATAGTGGCCTCATCCTTGGACGAGACTTCACATTTTGCTCCACCTATGGTAAAGGACAGATTGCTCCTCGTAGTTTGCATTGATTCATAAGCCCAGATCGTGACCTTCTATTCGTCCCTGCAAAAGAGGTTGCATTTGGTGAACAATCGTTGGGCTAATAGCTGGACAGCGTTTGCTTTTGACATAACAGCTTCATCAGGTCAAATGAATAGGTTACCATGTTGACTGAGTTCTAATACAGACGCAAGCCGATCACCAACGTCTCTTCGGTTAGGCAGATTAGAGACACGTAGATCTACATGTACCTTTGACGGAAGGAGGTGAGCGAGAGCAATGGAGCTGGTCAACCGAAGCCGGCTTCGATTCCAAAGAAGTATTTCAACATTCCCATACTAACCATTTCAACCCTGATTACGCCTTCGAACGCCGGAACCATGTGTGAAGCATTTGTGAACCAAAAGGAAATTAAATTGCAAAATTCACAGTGGCAATGTCAAGTGCATCCGATTCGGCCATCCGGAAGTTTGCCAAGGATAAGGGCTTTTTTAAGGATTGAATGGGTTTGAGATAAGTTGCACAAGCATCTACATCCCAAAGGCACAGTTGGTTCTGAACTTAGGGAAATCAACGACGCGGTGGTTCGCCGAAACATCCGCGGACCGTAGGCAAAACAAGTAACACGTGACTTTGTGCTTACATACGAAGACATATACAGAGCCGAAAAACGACACAAACCGAATGTGGTGTGCACAGTTCTTCGTTCACTGAGATTACAGGCCAGTCAACCGTAATACGAAAACCCGTTCAGCTATAGCACCCTTTCGGCGCTAGCTGCCATAGTTCTTCGTTCACTGAGATTACAGGCCAGTCAACCGTAATACGAAAACCCGTTCAGCTATAGCACCCTTTCGGCGCCTAGCTGCCATGCCACCCGAAGGTTACTCGAGGGCTGGGATACTGCCAGGTTGCTCAAGCCTAGACAGGGGAAGTCGAGAGGCAGAGGTCGGGTTCGGACCACGGACCTTCCGGTCAGTGAATTCGCGCTCTAACTACTTGAGCCATCTCACCGTAAGACAAAAATAAATCGTCTGGTCACGTTAACTTTTTAGTGAATGGGTGTCACGTAGCTAGTCGGGATCATAGCAAACACAACAAAAGGTCCTAAGGCCTAGATAGGGCCAGGAAAGAAGTCCTGAAGTTGCTCTGAACTACGAACCGACGAGGCCAAAAACTCGCACGCGTAACTTCGTGCTGAATCAGCGCGTAGCCTATGGCAAAATTAGATGCACCTGGTGTGTTAGCTTAATGTGACTCGAACCCACTTCTACTAAAGAGGTCTATTT